GGGGAGGGGCAGAAGTTGAGGATGAACGTTAAGAGTCTACTGATGGGCACAGGGTGGGAAGTTTTATTTTTCAAAGAGATCCCGTAGCACAGAATTGAGCCTTTCTGGGGAAGAAGGTGGAGGTCGTGTTTTCTGACTCTTACCTCGTGAGGTTGCGGGAGAGCTGCATCCCCTCGTCGCTGACATAATTAACCACGTCAGACCCTGAGCTGCTCAGTCTTGAGCCGTAAGCCTGCCTGAAGCATTAAGAGAAGGCTGATGGGTCTGTGACGCTCCAGCCAGGTCCCGAGAAACCTCCCAAACCTTTTAGCTTCGGCTCATGGTGCAGGGCCACCTGCTTTGCTGCCGTTCTGCTTCGTCCCCTGCTCTTTCCCCTTCGTTCGTGAAGAGGACGAGCTTATTTTAGCTTATAATCTCTTCAGATCTCTAAGAAGCAGCTGCTTGCCTGCTCTTACCTCAATGCCACGCTAAGGGTGCTCGCTCCCGGTCCTGCTGGTTCTGCGGCTGTCGAGATCGAGCACGTGGGAGCCGTTTGCCGACAGCAGCCCGTCGTGGCCTTGCGTTTGCGCTGCTCTTACTTTTTAGGCCAGCTCCTCGGCAGTCCTAACGGAGACCAGGACACGCGCCAAATAAAAGAAGTTTAGTTTTGAGGGTGGAAGCAGGGTGCGTGAGCATTTTATTTCGAGTGCCCGCTGCACCCTTCTGCCACGCGCTGGACAGAGGCCAGGCTTTGCCTGGATGTTTCTTGCTCTGCTTTATACCACCGGGAAGCAGAGCTGGCCTTGAACGTCTGGCATCCTTCTCTGTGGTGGCTTTCCTCTGCGGTCCCATTGCTAGCTTAACTGTGAAATAAATTTGATTATTCCTTCTTTCTTTTTTCTCGGATGCTCAATTTCTCCCTCTCTCTCTGTCTCTCTTTCCCGCTGCCCATGCTGCCCTCACTGCTGCAGTGCGCCACTGTGATCGGCTTCTGCTACTGGGCTTCGGAGCTGATTCTCGCGCAGCAGCAGCAGCACAAGAAGTACCACGGCTCCCAAGTCTACGTCACCTTTGCGGTGAGCTTTTACCTGGTGGCGGGAGCCGGCGGAGCCTCCATCCTCGCCACCGCTGCCAACCTGCTGCGCCACTACCCGACCGAGGAAGAGGAGCAGGCCTTAGAGCTCCTGTCCGAGATGGAGGAGAACGAACCTTACCCAGCCGAGTATGAAGTGATCAACCAATTCCAGCCGCCGCCGGCTTACACCCCGTGACGCTACCCGGGGCCGTGGGGCACGGTAATAGCTTTCTCCCAGCCCTAAACTGTCCTCGGGTGGGGATGTGCTCCCCGACCCGCAAGGGCCCCTTCACCAGTGCTTCGTTTTCTAGGCACCTTGTTCACTCTTCTGAGCTCTTCCACGCAAAGGAAAGGACTTGTTTTAAGAATCGGATGACCAGCGGTTTCTTCACACGACAAAAAAAACCACCCCTCGTTTTATTACCTTTGTAGCGTGATTTTAACCCCCTCGCCCCCTCCGCGTTGTACCCGTTTGGGTGGCTGAAAGAATAACAGACGAGAGTGGTGTCAGCAGCTCCCACCTTTCCGCGTGATCCCGGACGCTCGTTTCCAGCCACGTGCTTGCGAGGGTGAAATCGCCCCCTTGTTTGCGAGGGGGCAGACACGTGCGCGTGAATCTATTTCTATGTGAAACGCCTGGCGCGGTGTGCTGGTGGGAGGGAGAACAGCCCTTTGTAGCAGCTGTACAACAGGCGACAGGTACAGCAGCCCTGTGGCCACCGCTCTAACTGCTCTTGTTTTCTGACTTGCGCTGATCACACAAGCATTTTGCACTTTATTCATGAGGCTCGCTGCCCTTTTCCCAGACTTTGTGGAGGATGGTGACGTTCGTGGGGGCCAGCTGCTGTAGACGGTCACCGTTACAAACCCCCGGAGCGAGGTTTGCAAGAAGGAGGCGCATCGCGGGCTGATTCGGCGAAGCCGTGCCGACTCCAGCAGTGATTTGGGGGGAGCGATCTGCACCCTCTGCAGCGCCTAGCTCCCCTGAGCATGTCGCAAGTAAATCTGTTTTCCGCCAAGATTGAAACCAGACTTTTACGTAGCGGCAACTACTGAGAAGCAGGTTGAGCCTCTGCTAGAAAACGGGCATCTCCGACTATAGCTTTTATGCAAGTTCTCGTCCTCCGCGCAAAGCTGACTTTTTACGCTTTTTGTCCCCTTTTAACTTAGCTGTTTTTCTGTCCTGCTCTTAGTTTATTACCCTTCCTGTGACAAAGACTCTGTTCCTCTGCGAGCCCCGCGAGACGCTGTAGGGATTCAGCGTCGCTTGGCCTCAAGAGCGAGCTGTGCCCCGAATGGCGCCGGACGGCCGAGGGAAACCAGCCCCGCGCTTCCACAACTATCGGCCCGGCCAAGAAGGTAGCTGGTGGCAAAAGAGCAAAACTTGTGCTGGTTTGAGGATCTTGTTTTCAGGCCGTTTAAAGCGAATTGAGCAGCGAAAGCTGAGCAGCAAGGCAGCAGCCTGAGCGCCGTACCACCAACTCAGGAAGCGAAAGGGATGGCTAAGCACCAGCTTGGCCTGGAAGGTGCAGAGGCTTAGACAAGTAATTTTAGGACAGGAATACTGCTTGTAGGTCTCACACAGTTCCCAGTGACCCCTCCCTTCCTAACGCTTATTATATATTTTCTTGTAGCCGGCTGTTTTGGCCAGCTTGTTCCTTTTCCTTCTCCGCTTGCAGCAGCACTGGCTATGCAAGAGATTAAGCCGCTCTCCAGGCCTCGGGCCGTGGAACGAAACCGGGAAATCTTATTTTAGGGAGAGCACTGCTTGTGTCCGCCGCGCTGCCTCCATGGGAGAGGACTAGGACTATTAGGAGTCTTTTCCACGGTGGCCACAAAAGACTTGAAGCAGCAAACGTGGTGATTCGAAGCCTTCAAGGCTCCTGGTCGAGGTGGGCAGAGCTTAGAGAGAAGCCGACAGCGTAATATCGAGAGGGTTTAGCGTAGCGGGTAATCCCAGCGCCGCTCTTCTACCACGCAGCTCCGCGACTGGTCTTGGCCAAAGCAACTCCGGTTAAAC